TTTTTTTTTTTTTTTTTTTTTCAGTACCGGGCATCAAATTTGGGAACTTGCACTTGCGAGGCAGGCGTTGGAACCACTGAGCTAAATCCCCGGCCCTGGTTCTACATATTTCTTAATGGAACTCTGTTGCTTTCTTTTCATGGAAATATATATGTGACATTTCGACATATATTACTATGCTTATACATACAGAAATGTATATTAGCACATTTGTCAGAATTTGTTCTAGGATTTACTTTTATTGTAAGATATCACTGATATCAAAACTGTTGAGAATGGGAAGGGGTGAAGAAATAGCCTCATCCACCTTTAATTTCCAGGGTCAACTAATATTTGTTTTCTTAAAACTTTTAAAATTACTAACTGGTAACAGTACCTACATTATCTCACTCCTGGGCACAGGGCCTGGCACTTAACAGATTCTCAGTAAATAGTTGTAGGTAAATTGGTACTTAAAATGTTATAAAAATAGATGCTTCCATTTCACGCTTCTTAAAGGTACTGAGAAGAGAATTCTGAGATGTCCTAAATGAAGCTACAGGCCAGAGAATGGAGGGAGGAAGAAGATATACAAGTTCAGCTTAATTCACAACTTCAAGCTAAACCAACAAAAACAAACCAACAGACACCCTGCTCCCCATCCCTTTCCTGTGTGCTGAAGATTACTCACTGGAGTCATACCTCATTCCGACAGCCAATGGAGGTTCAGTGTAAACAATCTGGGTTTCTCCTCTCCAAAAATTTCATTATGGAAGACCCCAAGTCCCTGGGTCAGGTGGACATTTTTCCAACTGCCATCCAGCCCTGGCTCCAGGTAGCTTAGGAAATTTGTCCCAGGCCAGTTCTCATCTGCAAACAGCTCAATAAACCATTTATTTCTGAGACCTCTTCATCTCAAAAACTTGATTTAACAGTACTATAAATCTGACAGCAGAACATTTCTGTCCACCACCTAGTTCAAAAGTCATTGCCTAAAACGCAGCATATTCAAATGTAACATATCCAAATTCCCTGATTGCTATTAAATCATTCTGTATTTCCTGAAGCATATTTCACCATTCCCAAAATGTTCTCACTCACGTGGTTTTAGCTAGTTATTGTTGTACAATAAACCAACTCAGTAATTTAGTGGCTTTTGGAAACAATCATTTATCTGCTCGGCAGTTTAAGTAGGGCTCAGGGATGATGATTTATATCTGCTTCCTGTAGTGTCGTCATTCACGCACCTGGGAGCTGAGTAGGGGCTGAAATATCCAAAATGGCCTTCTCTATATAGCTTAGACCTTGGCAAGGAGAGGTAGAGGCAGGAATTCTCTCCTGAAGCCTCTGGTCTCTCAATTATTCAATAGTTTCACCCAAATTTATTTAGATGGCAGTTGGTTTCCCCAAAACAGAAGCTTCTTAAGGCCTATTCTTGGATATTCTAGCAGAATGTCATTTTGAAGACATTCCATAAGTCAAAGTCACAATTCCACCCAAGTTGTGGGAGAAAGGAGTTAAATTCTATTTTTGCTTTTTTCTTTTGTGCCACTGGGGATTGAACCCAGGGCCTCACATATACTAGGTAAGTGCTCTACCACTGACCTATGTCCCCCAGCCCTTTTCAAATTTTTAATTTTAGTTTTGAGATACGGTCTCCCTAAGTTGCCCAGGCTGGTCTTGAGCTAGTATGTGCCACCACCCCTGGCAGTCTGCCTTTTGAGTGACGAAGTGACACACACATGCAGTGGTTGGAGGAGTCACCAGCTAACTGTAGGAATAATGTATTACAGTCTGCTCTCTGGCACTGACAATTTGCCTGCCCCTCACAGGGAAAATACACTTATCTCCCTACTCACATCTCATCCCATTATTCTGGCTCAAGGTCTAGGATCCTGTCATCTGTGTTAGGTGTAGATGTAAATGAGAGCCTCAGATTAATTTCATCTGTCTAGAGAACTGAACATAGAAAACACCTTGTCCTTACTTCGCTCCTAATCCCACCTCTGCAGCCATAGCCAGTGTTCACTGGTGAGAAGTGGGTAGGGTACATACAACAGGAGCTCATGTTCTGAAAGCAGAACATGAAAGACACATAGTTGTTACTAATGTCACTGAATCTGAAATCCGGCCATTGTGTGTGGCCCGTTTCCCAAAGTAGTCCCAATTCTGGGCTCTGGGAGTTTTCCACATTCGTTGCTCTGTTGATTCTTGGCTTCAGCCTCCTCTGTGAGAACTTTGATCTGCCTAACTTATCTTTCTTTTGCATAAATTATTCTCACAATCTGCTGTTGTTGTTTAGTAGAAGTTGAGGGCCTGTTAGCTTCTTTTAATGCCAACAGTCTCTGACCTTCAGTATAGGATGATAATGCTTTTACTAGGGCAGTTGTCCTAACAACTTTGGAAGTTGTATATAAATTTTTTCACAAAAGCAATGTTGATAATTTTTCCAGGACAGACCTTGAACTAGGTTGCCATAGGACAATGCTCTTAGGCGTCTAAGAAGCCCTTCTGTGTGCGTCTAAGGATCTACAAGTCACCTTCTAAAATCTTTCTGATCAAGACCTACTGTCTTGATCTTGACTATTTCACTGGCAGAGCTCTGGATTTAAATTATTCTCAGGACAAATTTTTGTTTTGTTTTGTTCTGCCTTTTGGAAATGAGACAGGGGAGATTAGCTAGGATTTTGAAGTAGCAGCTGAAACACTTGATGATAAGGGGGAGAAAGTAAAGCAGGCTGACAATTAAGTGAGCAAACCGCTGCATTCCCAGAGATAAGGAAGTAGGATGAGTGGGCAAAGAGGGGGAATCAGAGGCAAGTGAAGGTGGCAATTGATTTGACTGAAATTTGACCCTGCATTTCATTATGCCTTCATTGTAACAGTATTTCCATAGTAGGATCTCCACTCTGAGACTTCTAAGCACAGTTGGGGCTGTGTGAAAACTCAGGCAAACTCCACCCTATTTTTTGGCTTCCTGGAAAAGGAAACAGAGAGAGAGAGAGAGAGAGAGAGAGAGAGAGACAGAGAGAGAGCGAGAGTAATTAGTGAATGACATTCCATTGAGATCCCATAAAACTTAAATGTATTTTCGTTGTTGTTGTTCAGGGCTGGCTGTGGAAGAGTAGCTAACTTTATTATATTTTTCCTGGGGCTGCTCTCTCTGGAGGAGAGTAACCAGGTTTGCTGTCTCTTTGCTGGGGGCTACGCCGCCTACAGGGCAGCCAGCTATGTTTGGGTTTTTGGGTTTTTTTTCCCCCTATAATAAACTTTCATTTTACTTTTACTTTTATTTGATTTCCATCTTCTATGGGCTGTGACCCATGCTAGCTAGTGACAGATTGCTGGGTTTTTTTCCCCTCTCTTTTTAAAAACTAACATATGTCTGCAATTCATAATAAATACATTCATGTTGGGGAGCTGGACATACACGTACAACATCTTGATCTTTTTCACTTCCCCTTTCCCTCCTCTCCCTTCTACACTCCCCGCCCATCCTGGGTCCTTATATGTCATCTACATTTGCTTGAAATCTGAGCAATCCTTTTTTTTTTCCTTTTTTTAGCTTCACTCTTCTATTGTTACACGTTATCATATGTTGTTGCTGAAAGAAACCAATTGAAATTTTCAACATTCTGTCTAGAGATTTCACAGATAGATCTGCAGGTTCAATGGGATATCACTGATACTAAGACTGAGGGACAGGGAGGAGAATTTAGGGAAACAACTCTCTGCCTTCAGTTGCTAGAAACTATCAGTGTTAACAAAATTATTCTGAAAATTGCTGCCTGGTAAAATTGCCATCTTACAGCACCTATGTTATTTCTCAGACTCTAGCACGATGCCTGGAACTTAACAGTATCAGGAAACTGGTGCTGGCTAACTGAGTTCTTAAATCAGCTGTGACAGAATGGAATTGCTGATTAGTACTACTTACTTTGTGTTCGTCTTTCCTAGTCTCCAAAAATTTCTTCATTGCCTTTCCAGCCTCCACTAACGTGATTTTTTCCTCTTTCCAGTCTTTCAACTGTCCCTTCACTGCCTCAGCAGCCTTCTCCAACTGTCTCCTCACCACTCCTGACTTATTAAAGAAAACACTTTTGAAAGATTTGGAAATTTTAGGGCCGGGGATTTAGCTCAGTGGCACCGCGCCTGCCTTGGAAGCATAAGGTCCTGAGTTCGATCCCCAGTACCAAAAAAAAAAAAAAAATTGGAAATTTTAAATATGGAATGGTTATTAGATGGTATTGCGGAATTATCATTAACTTTCTTAAAAGTGATAATATATTATAGTTGTTATATTAAGGGAGGATGTCCTTATTCTTAGGAGTTCATGCAGCAGTATCTAGGGGTAAAGTTTCGTGGTATCTGTAACTGTCTTTCAAATTGTTTAGAAAATTGTATTTGTGTGTGTATCTACTTAGAGTCGTAAATCACCTAATGGCAGAGCTCTGTTGTGAGAAATGCATCACTGGGCAGTTTTGTCCTTTGAGCATCACAAGGTATATGTAAACTAAGACAGCTACAATGTCACAAAAGGATACAATGTATACATTTCACTATGTAGCTCAGGCTAGCTTCAAACTTGCAGTCCTCCTGCCTCAGCCTTCCCAGAATTGGGATTACATGTATGCAGTGCACATCCAGAGACTTCTGTTGTAGGTGTGTTCTGTCACTGACTAGAACATACAGTGCCTGACTGTGTGTCTATACATATATAGGGTATCCTGGCCCTTTTGGAATGCTGGAATCAGAAATGGTTTGGATTTTAGAGTTTTACAGACTTTGTAATATATGTATGTAGATATAATAAGATATACTGAGGATAGGACATGAGTCTAAACACAAAATTCATTTCATTACACCTGTTTTTTTGTTCTGTCTTGGTGATCCTGGGGGTTGAACAAGAACTCTACCACCGAGTTGCATCCCCAGCCCTTGCACCTGTACTTTGACACAACTTGTCACAATCGGTCAGGTGTGGAATTTTCCACTTGTGGCATCATGTTGCTGTTCAAAAAGTTTCCAATTTTGGAGCATTTTGGATTTCAGGTTAGGTATGCTCAGCCTGTGTGTGGGTGTGTCTATATATTTACATCTAAAGAGGTGAAGCTCATGGGAGAAAATGTTAATAATTGTAGGGTACTGCCTTATTGATTATGCCCAAAATACACTGTAAAGAATTAACCTCACACGCTCAGTGGTTCTGCAGCCTGCCTTCCAAGTGCAAGGGCTGAGTTGAATCCCTGGTACCAAAACAAACAAACAAGAATTAACCCCACAATTGGTTGTTTTGAGAAGTTGGGTTCGAGTGGGGCTGAAGCCTATGAGCCAAGGTCATGAGTGACTCACACCCAAATTCCATTCCCATGACTAAAGCCTTCTTAACCAGAAGGACAAGGTTCTAAATACAACCCTATATTTCATCTATTCTGTTTCTAATTTGAAAAATGCTGTATTTTTTCCTTGTCTACATTAGTATCCATAGCAACTGCACGACTGCACGTCCTCGCACATAGTTCACTCTTACCCCAATTGATTACCAATAAAAATTAGTGGCTTGGACTAACCAGTGCCTTTGCTGGTTGAGTGGCATTGGCTCCCTGTTTCTCTCTCTCTTCAGTTCTGTCTTTAAGTTTTTCTCTCAGCTTCATGCTGTAAAACCAAGCAAGAGATCAAAACCTACTACAAGTCTCTGATAAACAATGAATAATTATTAAATCTAAGTGGAAGGTATATAGATACTCATTGGGTTCTCTACTTTTCTGTAATTAATTTGACAAGTTTTATTTATTTATTTATTTAGGTGCCCAGGATCGAATCAGGGCCCTTGAGCTTGCCAGACAGGCAGTGGAACCACTGAGCCAAATCCCTGACTGGACAATTTTTAAAATAAAACATTTTAAATAGGAAGCTAGGCATGGTGGCATATTCCTGTAATCCCAATGTTCAGGAGACTGAGGCAGGAGGATTATAAAGTCAAGGTTGGTTTTCATCCATTGGAAATACATAAAGTCTGAACAAAGTGAACCTACAAAATGGGAGCAAAGAGGAGAGGCTATGAAAAAAAAAAGGATCTAAATGTTAGGCTAGCTGTGATGGTACGTTCATGAAATACCAGGATTTTGGAGACGGAGGCGGGGGATCTGAAGTTCAAACCCAGTCTGGGCTATTTAGTAATTTAGGAAAACATCGTCTCAAAACAAAAAAGGGCTGGGGATGTAGCTCAGTGCAAAAGCTCTGAATTCAAACTCAGGTACAGAAAGAAAAAAAGAAAAGAAAAAGAATTGGAATGTTGTTCCCAGGTATGGTAGGGCATCCTGTATTTCCAGCCACTCTAGAGGCTGAGGCAGCAGGATTGCCTGGACAACTTAATAAGATACTACCTCAAACTAAAATTATAAAAGGGCAGAGGATGTGGCTTAGTATTCCCTACCTTCAATCTCCAGTGCCACACACACACACAACACACACACACAACACACACACACACACAAAGTGAGGTATAAAGACTGAAATAAATTTTTACCTAATTTACAACTTTATGATGAAATAATTTTGATTCTACCCTAAATTACTTATTTGCTTTAGATTTGCAGTTAAAAGTACTCTTTTAGTAAACTATATTAAAAAGTTACTAAACTATATCAAAATTTTAAAAATGTACACGGAGGTTTACACATCAAAGAAACACTTGAGGAAATTCATTCCATCGTTTTTCTGTTGTGTAAGTTAAATTTTGTAAAATTTGCTTCTTCTTACAAGAGCATAGAGGAACATGTAAGTTGCTTACCAAAACTTATGTAATATAACTATTTTTAAAGACTTGGATTAGCTAGGCATGCTAGCACAGGATAATCTCAGCACTCTGGGAGCCTGAGGCAAGAGGACTGCAAATTCAAGCCCAGCCTGGATAACAGCCATTGAGTGAGAACCTGTCTCAAAATAAAAATAATTTTTAAAATGCTGGGGATGTAGCTCAGTTCGAAGGCCCTGGGTTGAATCACCCAGTGCTACAGTTAAATAAGCAAGAACAATTATAAAAGTCTGGGTACATGTTGTAGCTGGATGTGGCCCCTAAGACTTTGTGAGCAGGAGTAATACTTTCCACTTCCAGAGCTGGAATTTAGAACACTGAGTGTACACTGCGCGCTCTCCCCTTCCGTAAGCAGGGGAGCTGCCTGTGACTCAGCTTCAAGCCAGAGCCACTGTAGGCCCAAGACCTTTGATCTCAGGTTCATGAACGTGGCTGAGGAAGTATTACATGTTTGTTTCCAAAAGCCCCAAGCTAAAATTAAGGCTTTCTTCAATGACAAATCACAGTTCAGTATTAACAGCACACATGAATTTGCTACTCAAAATAATATTTTCATATCATGTTATACATTTTTTTGGCAACATTAGGGATTGAACCCAGGGCATTCTACCCCTAATCTACATCCCTAGCCCTTTAAAAATCATTTTGAGACAGGGTCTTGCCAAGTTGCCCGGGCAGGACTTGAACTTGCGGTCCTTTTGCCTCAGCCTCTCAGAATGGTAGGACTGCAGGCATGTGCCAGTGCATATGACATCATTTTTTAAAACATCATTTATGCTCAGTCCTTCTTCAAAGTTACAACAGTTGTTAGATCTGTTGTTAGGTGGTATTGCTTAATCAATTAAGAAGTTCATTTTTATCTCTACAGCACTGGGGACTGAACCCAGGGCTTTCACACTGAGCTACATTCCCAACCCTTTTTAAACTTCTTTTATTTTGAGATAAGATCTCACTAAATTGCCCAGGCTAGGCATGTACTCACAGTCTTCCTGCCTCAGCCTCCCATAGTGCTAGGATTTATAGGCATGGGCCACTGTGCTTACCTGAAGTATATTCATGATAGTATCGCAATTCAGAAAACAACTTTGATCACCATGATCCAGTTAATTGGTTTCCTTTCACTTATGCACTGTTATTTGGAGAGTCTATGTGCTTGAATGAAGTGCCAGAGAAGTCTGTGCCGTAAACATGGTGAAGAACTCTTGCCCTATACACAGGGTGGGAAGCATCAGGGGCATTTAATGTCTGCATGAACAGAATCAGGCAGGAAACTTGGTCTGATCACTTCGGGATTGTTACATATGAGAACATTAAAGAGCTACATTTTGTATATTGGAGGTATCTCTTCTATAAAAACTTACCTTAAGAAATAGGGCATAGGTGTTACTGCTACGTCTAAAACAATACACTTGCACTTTTGGCATCTGGATGATTAGATGGCATGAGAAATAGGCAATTGTGGGAGTTTCACCAAAAAGATCGTCCTGGAAATTGCTCTATACAAATATGCACAGAGAGAGTTTCTTAGCTGCATTGAATTTCTTTTTCCTCTAAGATAATCTATTTTTCATTTATGATGCCAAGTGTAAGTGTAGATTATTTTTGGATTTTGCTGTACACTATGATCTTCAAGGTATGACTTTAATTCTGGAATATTCTATTCTATTGTCAAATAGTAGTTCCCTCTAAAGCATCGCTTCTCTTTCTTATTGTGAAGGTGATAAGTAAACAGCCACATGAAGAGATGCATAGGGTGAGGACTGAGGGGGGCCCATGTGCGAACAAGTCTTTCTGGTGAAGACAGCATGCATGGTGTTCCCAGCACATGGACGTGTTGCCTCTTGGATGCTCCCGAACCCTATCTTTTAGTATATTTATACGTTTCATTACTAAGGCATAACTGTGGGTGTTGGTGATCAAAGCCACCCTGGCTCTTCTCCCTTCCAAGAGGTTGGAGATGCCACGGAAAAGCTTCAAACTTGTAATCTAAGCCTAATCAAACTTGTGGCAATCAGCCCCATTCTGACTCTGTCTAGGGGACATGCCAAGCATTGCCTCACTAGAAGAAGACACCCCCATCACCCTGTCACTCAGGAAATTCTGAGGGGTCCAGGAACTGTGGGCCCAGAACTAGGGACAAAGACGGAATATTTTCTACCACAGCCAGAGAAGAGAAAGCCCTTCTGTAGAAGCCCAATTAAAACGTGGACAGTGAGAAGGATACGGAAAGGGGAATGAGGGAAAAGGAAAAAAACTAATGAGAAAAATGTAAAAATGGAATTAAAGTGTTTGAAGGTGGGGAGGGGAGGAGGGGGTAAAGGGAGTGTGGGGACAAGGGGAAAAAATGAGAACCAAGACCTGGCATGTAAATGTACAAGATCCCATTAATGAATGTAACTGTACTGTCTACCTAGAATGTACCAATAAATTCAATTTAAAAGAAAAAACAAACAAATGTGGAGAAGGTGTGGTACAAACAGACAATAACTATGTGGCAAACAGCATAATAATAAGTGTTTCAGACAAACATGTCCCTGAATGTTAAGAATAGTTGCAAATGTTTGCTGGCAGCAGGATTTTCAGAGTATCTCTCTGTAGGATATTTATCACTAACTTCACCAGTTACAGGTCATTATGTATCTCTGACATGATGCAGGAAGGACAAAGCATCACATATGTTGCATTCTTGTCAGAAACACATATAACCTGGGACTGGGGATTTAGCTCAGCGGTTCCGCTGCCTGCCTCACAAGTACAAGGACCCAAGTGTGACCCAG